TGGACATTCTTTCAGAATTATATAAAGTGGGAGTAATGGAAGTTTTCCAAAGGGAGATCCATTGGGCAGCCAAAAGCAAATGTTATAACATTAGTTTTCATTTAAATACTCATTTCTTACTTACAGTGACAGTGTCCTGGAGCCATCATGAGCCAGAATTTGGTTTCTCATTTGAATAGAAATTTTGAACTATTCTAAAAAGTCCTCTGGAAAATTTTTTTTTTCAATATTATCATTGAATAAGAATCAGGAGTAATTTTGGTTACGTGCCTTATCTTTTCCTCCTTACACCAAATCCTATCTAATATTTTTATATTAAATATAAATTTATATTTGTATTAAACCTTATATTAATGTAGCACTGTATAATTAATGATATTTTCCATTCATTCTCTCATGTAATCATGTTTTAACTAATTATAATACAAAAAGAGATTTAAAATTATTCTTAAAAAAACGTAATATTGAATACATTTTCAATAAGGCTAAAGTTCCTTTTGACCAAATCCCCAAATCCCAATACCCTCCCCCTGTGCCAGAAGTTACCACTGTTATAAGTTTGATGCATACAGTTCTACTTAGATAGTAAATAGTATACATTTTTCCTCAGCTTGTTTTTTTTTTTTTTTCCTACTATGTCTTTTAATCTATGGTGTTGCATACCCATCTAATTTATACATTTATACTTTGGGGAATATAGTGTCAATATACCACAATGTATTTAACCTCTTTCCCTATTGACGTTAATCTTGTTGTTTAGATTTCACATTGTTTCCTATGAATTTTTCACATCATAGGAAAATATTTCTATACATACAACCGATCCAAAAAGCTCAATGTGGCAAAAGAACATTATTTTTGAAGTCAGTATTTTTCTATTTATTTTGCAATAAACACTTTTTTTGTCCTTAAACATCAGCTAGCACATACAATGAGGGACATGCCCTATTGTTCTAAAATTCTGTGATTCTATGTGTATCTCTAATAAGAGATGCCAAGTTGCTTTTTTTTTTTTTTTTTTTTCGGTACACAGGCCTCTCGCTGTTGTGGCCTCTCCCGTTGCGGAGCACAGGCTCCAGACGCGCAGGCTCAGCGGCCATGGCTCACGGGCTCAGCTGCTCCGCGGCATGTGGGATCCTCCCGGACCGGGGCACGAACCCGCATCCCCTGCATCGGCAGGCGGACTCTCAACCACTGCGCCACCAGGGAAACCCCCAAGTTGCTTTTTGTACTTTCACTGTACACTAGACCGGTAGTATAGTGTTTTAACCTCAAAATGATCTCCTTAGAAGAAGTGAGTTTATTTTTGGCCTCATAAATGAGTCAAGAGAAGGAGGAAGAGTTCAGATGCAACAGATTTACTTAATAAATTGCTTGTAACTTATTTATCTTCTCTTGAGTCTCTTCAGTTGAAAGCTAAACAAGTTTGTGCAGGTAGATAAGACCTGCAGCTTAATTTATAAGTGGTTTCTTGCAAACCCCTCAAGCCATTCATTTTATCTCTCACCATCTCTTAACAGAACTGGAATGTCAACCTATATTTGGTAAGAAAACTCAAAGAGAGTTTTCTCAATGGTTTAGATATTTGAGGCCACGTGTAACTTAGAAATGATTTCTTTGCATTAGAAATGTGGCATGTAAGGAAAGAGGACAAAATTACACACACTCGTACACACACCACATTACCTACAGGAGAATTTTCAATTTTTAAATAAAATATTGAGCTTCTAATTGCTTTCCAACTTGTCTTCTTGGGTTTATATGGAGGTAATGTTATTTTTAGCCACAGATTTGAGTCATTTCAAATTACAGTGTAGCAATCCTCATTTATAATACTTTTACTCTATATGTTATGATAAAGTAGAAGCAATTTCTTAAATGTTTAACTCAAATTCACTTTAATGGATAGATTCTCTAACTCAGACTTAAGAATAGTTAAGGTAAAAGAATCCACTGATACAATGTCTTTTATTCCTCCAGAGAACAATATAAAACATTTTGCAGTTCAAATCGTTACTTTTCTATCTTTTTGATAATTCATGCAAATATCGTCTATAGTCCTAAATGCTACTCATTTTAAGTAAAAGCTCAACAAGTCATTATAGAAAGACCATATTTTTGTAGTAATTATTAATATTTTTTCCTAACCTCCACTTTTCAATTTTATCACTCAAAAATCATTAATACCTAAAACTGAATGTTCTTTGTAAGTTTATTTTATATTTGGGAGTGAAAACAAGCAATAGCATTTGCTCACACGTTTTGAGCTAGAGTATTGATGGTTTAGACATGACTTATTTATTTGTAGAGCTGAGTCAGATGCAATAAGAAAACAACATAAAATCCATAAGTGTAAAAATTTTATGAGGTAAAAATATGAGTGTTACATATGCCCTTTCCTCTACTGCTGGGAAATATCTTTCATTCATTTAACACGTAACTGTTGCCTGGCTACTATATGTCCAGTGGTAAGATAATACACATGATTCCTATATTCAAGGAATTCCCACATTAATTCAGGGAGCACTGTAAAGCAATTTATAAGACAATGCATTAGGTCCTGTAAAAGAGGTATGAATACGTTTTTAAAAGAATGAAAGCTGACAAAAGTTTTTTTCTAAAGAAAAAGGTAAGAATCGAGGTCTGTGATTACACTGAAAACAGTGCAACTAAGTTTGCCTGGGGGGAATTGTGACATGTGAGCTGGATCTTAAAAAGTGAGAAACTGGGACTTCCCTTGTAGCGCAGGGGTTAAGAATCCGCCTGCTAATACAGGGAACATGGGTTCTATCCCTGGTCCAGGAAGATCCCACATGCTACGGAGCAACTAAGCCCCTATCCCTGGTCCAGGAAGATCCCACATGCTACGGAGCAACTAAGCCCGTGTGCCACAACTACTGAGCCTGCTCTCTAGAGCCCGTGCTCTCCAACAAGAGAAGCCACCACAAAGAGAAGCCCGTGCACTGTAAGGAAGAGTAGCCCCTGCTCACTGCAACTAGAGAAAGCCCGCGCACAGCAACAAAGACCCAACGCAGCCAAAAAATAATTAATTAATTAATTATTTTAAAGAAACAAACAGGGCTTCCCTGGTGGCACAGTGGTTGAGAGTCCGCCTGCCGATGTAGGGGACACGGGTTCATGCCCCTGTCCGGGAAGATCCCACATGCCGCAGAGCGGCTGGGCCCGTGAGCCATGGCCGCTGAGCCTGCGCGTCCGGAGCCTGTGCTCCGCAACGGGAGAGGCCACAACAGTGACAGGCCCGCGTACAACAACAACAACAAAAAAGAAATGTGTAACTGCTTTCCAGTAAAAGAAAAGTGAGGCAGAAGGGCACTGCAAGAAGAAAGACAGCGTGGGCAATGTTATAGAATGGTGAAAGTCAGAAATCTTCCATGTAAAGAGATCTGTTTCTCCTGTAGCTCTAAGGCAGGTTGTGATGAAAACAAGTCCAAGCTTTAATGGCAAGGGTGGCAACACTACACGGGAAACTGAATACACAGACTCAACAGGTTGGTCATGCCAAAGTCAGGGCTCTGATGGAGAAAATACTGGACTCAGTTCTGTAAACCTTAGAAGCGGACATTTGGTTGGAAGAGCCTGAGAAACTTGAAACCTCATTATGCTAAACTGAATAATGGCCACCTGAACATAGCAAGTCTCAATCCTTGGAACTTGTAATTACTTTACCTTATTTGGAAAAGGGGTCTTTGGAGATGTAAGTTAAGGATCTTGAGATAAGGAGATTACTCTGGATTATCCAGGTGAGCCCTAAGTGCCATCACAAGTGTTCTTATGAGAGAGAGGCAGAGGGACATAACACAGATACACAGAGGAGGCAACGTAAAGACAGAGCAGAGGGATGCAGCTACGAAACAAGGAATGCTGACAGCTGCCAGAAACTGGAAGAGGCAAGGACCTGATTCTCCTCTGGAACCTCCAGTGGGAGTGCTACCCTGCCAACACCTAGATTTTGGACTTCTGGTCTTCAAAACTGTGAGAGAAGAATTTTATGTTGTTTAACTCAGTCAGTTTGTGGCAATTTGCTATGGCATTCCCTAGGAAACTAATACACCCAGATTTCCCTGAACTCTCTGGACTGGCAGAAGCACTTCCCTTGCCCTTGCTAGCGGCGAGCAGCCTCCTGCACCTAGAGGCCCTGCAAAGATGTTACACCAGGCAGGTGCCTCTCAAGACGATGCTTGTCCTCTTCAAGATCCTGGCCCATTACAATGGAATATTACTCAGCCATAAAAAGAAACGAAATTGAGCTATTTGTAATGAGGTGGATAGACCTAGAGTCTGTCATACAGAGTGAAGTAAGTCAGAAAGAAAAAGACAAATACCGTATGCTAACACATATATATGGAATTTAAGAAAAAAAAATGTCATGAAGAACCTAGGGGTAAGACAGGAATAAAGACGCAGACCTACTGGAGAACGGACTTGAGGATATGGGGAGGGGGAAGGGTAAGCTGTGACAGGGCGAGAGAGAGTCATGGACATATACACACTAACAAACGTAGTAAGGTAGATAGCTAGTGGGAAGCAGCCGCATGGCACAGGGATATCGGCTCCGTGCTTTGTGACAGCCTGGAGCGGTGGGATAGGGAGGGTGGGAGGGAGGGAGATGCAAGAGGGAAGACATATGGGAACATATGTATATGTATAACTGATTCACTTTGTTATAAAGCAGAAACTAACACACCATTGTAAAGCAATTATACCCCAATAAAGATGTTAAAAAAAAAAAAAAAGATCCTGGCCCATCAGTTCCTCCAGAAACATAATGGATGCATTTTTGCGTCAGGTCACAGCACAGCCTTAAAATAAAGGAATATAATGCCTGCTCTGGGAGGAAATACTATACACATTACCGTAGCTGAAAGAAACCAAGACAGCATAAGCAAGAATAGATCTTGAAGGTGTTGACTACAAAGGGCAGACTATAAAGGCTGGGTGAGGGGAATTTATTAAAATGGGCTTATTCTCCTCTTACTCAGAATTTAGAGTCCTGAGAAGAATACCTGGATCTAGTCTTAATATGCTGCTGGGATTGTTCCTTGAGACTTGAGCGTGACTGTGGCATACAGCAAATGAAGAAGAGGGGTCCAAACAGCCTTCGCAGGATCACTGAGGTAAAAATCAGAACGCTCGGGGAGGGAGGAATATTAGAATTGGTTTATAATCAATAAACTCATCAGAGGACTCACCATCCAACTGTATTCCCTAAGAGGACAACAGAGGGCACCTTGCTAAGGCAATAAGGAATGCACTGGCGAGGGGGCTCCTAATGGCTTTGGGTTCATTGGCTAACCTCTGTAGGGCAGGGATGGCAATAATAGATATTATCATGAAACTATATTTGTAAGAGTAGGGTTCTGGAAGCACAGAGGCCTGTGAACATTACTACAACGGGCAGTAAGGTAGCAGACTTTTGGTGTTGTTCTCTAAGAACTAGACCCTCAGATCTGTGACCCAAAAGGTGGAAATGGGCTAGACTCTCTCACAATCATCTCAGTGACTCATTTGTGGAATTTGTGTTCCCTGCTCCTGCAATTTAGGCTCTATGGGATTCGAAGTCCTAGTTCTTGAAATGGTGTGTGGGGATGCTTCCTTTAGGAGACAGTAACGGTTCCACTATGCCTGAAACTGTGACTATCATTTGGTCATTTTGAGCTTTTCGTAATAGTAGGCCCATAGACAAATGAGGGAGTTATCATATGTGGGGGGGGAGGGGTCAACTCTGATTCTCATGAAGAGCTAGTTTTGGGCTATACAAGAAAGAGCATGTGTGTAACTCAGGGATTCACTGCGGCATATCCTAATACTGGCATGTCCAATGATAACTGTAAATAGTCTATTGCAACAACGATGGCCTGATAAGGTTAATACAACTGACGGTTCACAGCCCTTGGAGATAAAAATCTGAGTCACCACCAGGCAACAACACAGACTTGCTGAAGTGCCAGCCAAGGGCGGGGGCAATCTAGACTGGGTATTTTAGGAGAGAGATGATGAATATTAATTACTACTCTGAGCCCAGTTGCTGCAGTGGGCGCTGCAACTAATCCTTGTGTTGGATTTCTTTTGCACTCTGCTTCATATTTCCTCATATCCTCTCATCTAGCCTTTACTTCAGTCCTGCTGCAGCAACCAGCTGTGTGGAGACGTCTTCGGGCAGTGACTTCCTTTGGTTGCTTAGCAGGCTCTCCCCTTCTGCACCCAGGCTTCACTGTCACTCCTGTTTAAGATGCCGGCTGGAGCCTTCTCAGCCATGCTACACGGAAGCAAATCTGGAAAAGTAGGAGAGGTAACACCCCTCAAGACAACCCCTGTCCAGTGGGGAATGGAAACCCGTGGATAAATACTCCTTTCTTGGGAAGATAATTCTGAGGTATGGGAATTCCCTGGCGGTCCAGTGGTTAGGACTCCCCGCTTCTACTGCAGGGGGCCCAGGTTCAATCCCTGGTCAGGGAACTAAGATCCCATAGGTCGTGTGGCACGGCCAAGAAAAAAGAAAATTCTGAGGTGTATTCTGCATGGCTGTTCAGGGGACTTTAGTGAGACTGAGCCCCACATCAACTCAATAATAGTGATCAAACTCAGTAATTCAAAAACCGTTACATTGGTTTTACCCCCTTCCCTGTTTTACTCTTCTCCTGCCCTCACTCATGTTCCCTGGGATGAGTAGTATGCTGGTCAATGTTTTTTCCTTGCTCTCTAGGAAAAAAAAAAATCACCCTGGTTTGTACCATTTGCCCATTTCTGCAGTTGGATAGAGATATGCATAGTTGGTCCAGTTGGTCCTTGGGAGCCAGTAGGAGCTGAGTCTGAGCACACCACTGCTCGGGAGCATGACCCAAAATAAACTACCTGCCTACAAATCTTTGTCTCAGAAGACACAGGTGGCTTAGGAAGGACGAAGAGTTACCTATCTGTCTGAGCCAATAAGCAGAGAGTGGTTGGTACACCGACATTAGCCATGGATACCAATAAGACAAAATATTATAATGAGATGGGAGGGAGAAGAATTTCTATTATATAACAAATTGATGGTGGGAAAAGGGGTAGGGGGTAAGAATTTGAGGATACTCAGAAGTTTCTCCTGGGTAGATAGTAATGCCATTTCCAGACACAGAGAATATAGGACAATGGTGAGTTCATCCTTGGATCTATGAAATTTAAGGGTTTTTAAAGATATTCAGGCAGAGTGTGGAAGCTGTGCACAGTATTATTGTGAAATGTTATTGTTGATAATTACTCATTATTCCTGGAATATCCCGCCTGCCTCTCTCTTCTCCAACCCAGGCAGCAGTGAGCAGTGCTTTCCATATTTACTGCCTTCAGGGGAGGGCTGTTACTACAGAAAAGAAAAGAGAAAGATGAGTCCATGTTCAGTTTATAAGTTTCAAAACAGAGCTTTGAATCTCCTAGTAGAAAAAATAGGTTGAGATAAAAAGGTTTTTTGAGTTTCAAAAGCCTGGATTTTGAGCGCCAAGAGCCAAAGTTGATGCCATTAGCATCAGATTTTGATAGAATGAATGATGATAAAAGAGCCAGTTTTCCTACCCTTAAGAGAGAGTTGGAGGTGAAAACAAGATATAGTTGAGTGTCTCTGAGAAAGGACCCTTCTCCCAGCCTACATCCTCACTGCTGGGCTATCAGTAGGAGACAGTGATATAATTCCCAAATAATGGTGGAGATCTGAGAGGAAGTGTGTGCCCACTTCCTATCAGGATCCCTATGAGATGGTAAGCCCCAGGTAGTTCTCCTTGGCTAGCATACCTAGCAGCAAATAATAGCTATAGTAGAAATGATGATAGTGTGTGATCTGACAGTGTGCTGGAGTCCAGCTGCCAAGATTTCAGTCTCCAAAGTAGTAGGGGATAGCATGCAGAAGTTTCCACAATCCTAAAAGAGGGTGGAAAATGGTTGAGAGAGGGCCAGTGAACCAGGAGAGCCCGTAGAGATGGGACAACGGCCAGAGAATGATAGGTGACCTGACAACAGCTAGAATTACAATACGGAGGGATGACAGGAAAAAACCAGTCACCCTCCTCCACGGCCATGACCACATGTAAGCTCCTCGTACTTAGATTCTACTCGTGAGAGAATGGGGAGAAAAGAAAAATAATCATTTGATTGAGTTAAAGCCTGAAAAGACTGGGGAAATCTGGAATGACTACATCTTTACACCTAAAATTTACCATAACTAATTACTGTAACTTAATCAAAATTTACCACACTAGAAGATTAAAAGAAAAAAGACCATCTCAAAAGATACAGAAGACATTGTTAAGTAAAATTCAGTGTCCATTTATGACCAATGATCTTAGTGAACTAGGAATAGGAGTGAGCTTCTTAACCAAATAAAGGCTAGAAAGAAAAAGACAAACCCCAAATGAAAACAAAATCCAAAACCCTACAGCAAATATCATTCTCTTTAAAACCAGGAATAAGACAATTATGCCTGTTATCACCATGTCTATTTGTTAGACAGGACACTAAGATAAAAAAAAGAAACACAAGTTGAGAGGAATGGAAAGGAACAAGCAAAATTGTCAGTCAAAGATGTTAATGAATGTCCGTGTGAAAGTGAAAATAATTATTTTAGACATAATGAAGTTGAGGAAGTTTGTTGAATACTAAGGTAAATGTACAAAACTGTTGTATTTTTGTACACCAGCAAAAAACTATTAGGGTGTGTAATAAAAAAAGACATTAAATTTACAGTAGCAAGGAAAAATGCAAAGTATGTTGGGATAAATGTAGCAAAATATATGCAAGACCACAGTGGAGAAAATTGTAAAACTTTTTGAAAGACACTAAGATTTATTTATTTTTAAACTTTACTTTTTAGAACAGTTCAGATTTACAGAAAAATTGTGAAGATAGAACAGAGAGTGCCTATCCACCCCACCCTCAGTTTCTCCTGTTATTGCCATCTTATGTTAGTATGGTACTTTGTTGTAATTAATAAAAAAAACCTTTATAATGCATTATTATGAGATAATAGAAAATATATGTCTGCCCCCAGTTCCCAGCACAGAGCTCCTAAAACCCTTGGCATTTCCTAAGTGATAAGAGCACTAGGGACATCTGTTGTTCTACTATTGATCTTTTGTTTTGTTTTGTTTTGTTTTTGCGGTACGCGGGCCTCTCACTGTTGTGGCCTCTCCCGTCGCGGAGCACAGGCTCCGGACGTGCAGGCTCAGCGGCCATGGCTCACGGGCCTAGCCGCTCTGCGGCATGTGGGCTCTTACCGGACCGGGACACGAACCTGTGTCCCCTGCATCGGCAGGCGGACCCTCAACCACTGCGCCACCAGGGAAGCCCTACTATTGATCTTTGATCTCTGTTCCTGACACAGAACTTCTGAAAGCCTTGTAATTCTCTGGGTGGTAATTTCGTGGGTGATAGGACTGTCTTTTGTTCTAATGAGACAACTCTGCATGGGTTCCTGGATGAGGGCTGGGAGAAGGGAGAATGGCTGAAAATGGAGTCAGTGATAGATAATGCTGTGTGATGAAGCCTCCATAAAATCCCAAAAGCATGGGGTTTGAGGAGCTTCTAGGTTGGTGAAGACATCCACACTGTGAGGGTGAGGCACCCCAGCTCCATGGGGACAGGAGCTCTTGTGCTTGGGACCCTTCCAGAGCTCTCTTCATCTGGCTGTTCATCTGTATCCTTTATCATATCCTTTAATAAACTGGTTAACGTAATGTTTCCCTGAGTTCTGTGAGCTGCTCTAACAAATTAATCAAACCCAAGGAGGGGGTCATTAGAATCTCAGCCTGTCCGTCAGAAGTACAGGAGATAACCTGGGCTTGTGACTGGGGAGGAGGGTAGCCTTTTAGGACTGAACCTTAACCTGTGGAATCTGATGGTATCTCTGGCTAGATTGTACCAGAATGAAGCTGAATTGTATTGTATCAGAATGAAGCTGAATTGTAGGACACCCAGTTGGTGTTCAGGAATTGCTTGTTGGTATGGGGAAAAAAACCTCTACACACTTAGTGACCAGAAGTGTCAGAAGTGACATGTTCTCTGTAAAGGTAAAGGAGATACACAGGGGAGAAACACAATGGGGAAGAACTGGATTTTTCCTTCCATAGAAAGGAAGAAACGGGATCTTCCCTTTACAATAATTATGAACTAAAATTCATACTTTATTTAGACTTCTGTAGTTTTTACCTAATGTCCTTTTTCTGTTCCAGGATCCTATTCCGGATACCACATTACACTATTACATTTAGTCATCATGTCTCTTTAGGTTCCTCACAGCTGTGACTCTCCTTGTTTTTGATGGACCTTGACAGTTTTGAGGAGTACTCATCAGGTATTTTGTAGATTGTCTATTAGGATTTGTCTGAGGTTTCTCTCATGATTAGACTGGGGTTATAGTTTTTGGCCTCACAGAGGTAAGGTGCTACTTCCATCCCATCATATCAAGGGTACATATTATCATCACTTATCACTATTGATGTTGACCTTGAACACCTGGCTGAGGCAGTGCTTGTCAGGTTTCTCCACTATAAAGTTCCTCTTCGGGCTTCCTTGGTGGCACAGTGGTTAAGAATCCGCCTGCCAATGCAGGGGACACGGGTTTGAGCCCTGGTGCAGGAAGATCCCACATGCTGCAGAGCAGCTAAGCCCGTGCGCCACAACTACTGGGCCTGCGCTCTAGAGCCTGTGAGCCACAACACCTGAGGCCGCGTGCCACAACTACTGAAGCCCACATGCCTAGAGCCCGTGCTCCGCAACAAGAGAAGCCACCGTAATGAGAAGCCTGTGCGCCACAACAAAGAGTAACCTCCACTCATCGCAACTGAAGAAAGCCCCGCGCGCAGCAGCAAAGACCCAACACAGCCAAAAATAAATAAATAAAATAAATATAAAAATAAAATAAATAAAGTTCCTCTTTTTCCCCCCTTTCCATACTGTAACCTTTGGGATAAAATTACTATGCTTATCCCACACTGTAGCAGCGGTAGGTCATGCTTCCCTTCCTTGGGGTGGAGGGTGAAGTATCTACCTAAACTATTTTGAATTTCACACAAAGATTTGTCTCTACTCCCCCATTTATTTACTAAATGATTTATTTATATCATTACAGACATGTATATTTATTTTATACTTTGGGTTATAATCCAATATTTATTTATTTTGTTGCTCAAAGCTGTGGTAATTGAGGGTTTGATTTTTTTTGAGCACTTCTTTACTTTCTGGCACTAAAAGATGCTCCAGGTTCATCTTGTATATTCCCTGCCCCAGTCCTAGAATCAGCCTTTTCTCCAAGGTACCTGGGTTCCTTTTATTGGAGATATTTATTTTTAACCAGAACAATGTCATTTCTTTTTAAAAAATAATCTGAAGCAATCTATTTATTTATTTATCATTTTTGGCTGTACCAGGTCTTAGTTGCAGCACGCGGGATCTTTGTTGTGGCATGTGGGATCTTTAGTTGCAGCATGTGTCCTCTTAGTCATGGCACGCGGGATCTAGTCCCCTGACCAGGGATCGAACCTGGGCCCCCTGCATTGGGAGCATGGAGTCTTAACCACTACACCACCAGGGAAGTCCAGAAAGTATAAAGACATTTGTTCTTGTACCATTTGAGAGTACTTTGCCAACTTGCTGCCCCATCACCTTCTAATACCTTAGTGTGTACTTCTTATGAACAGGATCATTCTCATCTACATAACCACAGTATAATCATCATAATCTGGCAGTTAACATTCATACATTACAACCGTTTAATATATCCTCAGATATAGTCATGTTTCAGCAAATGTCCAAATACTGTCTTTTATAGCAATGGGGTTCAGAATCATGAGTTGCCTTATTTGTCATGTCTCTGTGATGGTTAATTTTATGTATTAACTTAGAGGGTGTTTTTGGATGAGATTAACATTTAAATTGGTAAACTTTGGGTGAAACAGATTGCTCTCCATAATATTGGTGGGCCTCATTCAATCAGCTGAGGGCCTGAATTGAACAGAAACACTCACCTCCCCTGAGCAAGAGGAAATTCTCCAGAAAACAGTTTTTGGACTTCATATGCACCATTGGCTCTCCTGGGTCTCTAGGCTGCTGGCCCAAATTCAGATTTTGGATATGCCAACTTCCATTACCATGTGAGCCAATTCCTTACAATAAGTTTATATATGTACACATACACACACATATCCTATTGGTTCTCTTTCTTTGGAGAACCCTGATTAATACGATCTCTTTAATCTCTGTCATTCTGGAATAGTTCCTCAAATTTCTCTGACATCCATGTCCTTGACATTTCTGAAGATTACAAGCCAGTTATTTTATATTATGTCCCTTAAGTTGGATTTGTGAGATGTTTACTGATGATTAGATTCAGGCTGGGCAGGAATAGCATTGAAGTCATACTGTGTTCTTTTCATTGCATCCTATCAGGCTGTAACATTTCGATTTGTTCCATTACTGATGTTCACTTTGATCGTTTAATTACAGTGGTGTCTTTCAGCTTTTTCCCTTATGTACACAACATCAAACTCTGTAAAAATCTCACTTGCCAAACTTTGAATTTACCCACCTATTAGAATTTACATCGGTGTGGACTCATAGTACTGGATTTATTCATTAGATTATAATCTCATAGTACTGGATTTATTCACTGGATTATAATCTGTTGCTATCACTTTATTTCGGCGTTCAAGTTAGTCTGTATTTGGCCAGTGGGAACCTCTTCAAGTGGGCTCCTGTGTCCTTTTGACATGTCCCCATCATAACGTTCGTTACTTTCTGGCATAACAAGATGTTCCACAAGAAGACCTTATAAACAAGACTGTTTATAGTAGCATTATTTGTAATAGTTAAACAAAACAACCATAGAAAATAACCCCCCAAAAAAGAAAAAAAAATGGGAAGCATTGACTCTCATTGCTGAAGTGTAAAGTTCAAACTCCTTAACATGGCATGGAAGAGAAAGTCAAAGCAAGAAGCACTGTGCTGTATTTGGGTTTCAGTGGGGAAAAACTTTTAGAATTTACTTCATTAAAATAAAAAAAAGTATCATGGGATCAGATGTTTAACACCATAATCACAAACTGACATTTTTGTATTTGAATGTAATGCACCTTTGGGAAAAGATTAGTAATATCACTGGTGCTTCATTTATCTCAAGTGATACAAACTCTGAACCATTATTAAATTTCAGAGCTGCCACTGTAATTTATCTAAACATTGTGCTGTAAACATTTGAAACAGCTAAATCATATAATAAAAGGTCTTTACAAATTCAAAACAAAACCTGGAAGCACCCCAATGTCCAACAACAGAAGAATGATTAATTGTGATAGAGTCATCCAATGGAATATTACACAACAGTAAAAATAAATTAACTACCATAAACAAATCAGTGTGAATCAATCTCACAAATAGAATGGTGAGTAAAAGAATCCAAGTCACTTTATGATTGCATTCATACAAAGAAGCAAACATGAACAATGCATTATTGAGTAATACATACATCTGATTAAATAATTAAAAAAACAAGAAAGTGGTAAACATAGAATTCAGAATAGTAGTTATCTTTTGGTGAGTGGAGAAAAGGAAATGGGATAGGAAAGCATGAAAGAGGTGAAAACAGTTGTTGGTAATGTTCTTTTTCTTACAGTGGGTGATAAGTATATTAGTGTCCAATTCACTGTTATTCTTTATACCTTACCTGTTTTTATAATCTTTTGTATGTACTCAGAATTTAGTTTAAAATGTTTCTATAATTTTGGACATGTTAGACACAGTTCCTGTGTTGTCTAATATAGAGGTCACTAACCACAAGTGACTATTTAAATTTAAATAATTAAAAAGTTGCACTAGCCACATTTCAAGTGCTGAATAGCCATGTAAGCTAGTGGCTACCATATTGGCAATGTAGATATGAAAAGATTTCCTTCACTGAAGCAAGTTTTGTTGGACAGTACTAGACACGGTGACTATCTCTGAGAAGAGGCTCTGAGAACTCCCTTCCCACACTTGGATTTTCCCTTAAAGGTTAGATTCCTGGAATCCAAGAGTGGAGGTGACCTGTGTCTTGGGTACAGTCTTACACGGAAAGCTTTACAGAAGTGCCCACGACCCCTACCTCATTCCAGAGTGGAACAGCAGCAGTATCGTAGAAGTAAGGCAAAGGGTAG